GTCCCCACGCACCACCGGTGAGCGCGCGTGCGCGTGCGGAGGAGCCCGGCGCCGTCGCCGCCGGCGGTTCTGCGGCGGCAGGATGCGGGGCCACGTCTGAGGCGCCGCGCACGGAGGGTGCATGCAAAGGGGCTTTGTGAATGGCATGAACGCGTTCGTGAAACCCTTTTGTGGATTGGTGATGCTGGTCTTCTGGAGGGCTCCTGCGCATGCTCCGCCTGCAGAAGCTGTCACCCCGGGGAGTGCGGGTGCCCTGGCCTCACACTGTCTTGTACTAGCGGTGGCCCACGACAGTTTTCTGCAGCGTGTAGCATGATGGCCCTGCAGTGTGCAGGAAGAGGCCAGGCTTGACGCCCCAACTGGGGACCCCAGGCTTCGCTGACACCTGGGCCTGAAACCCTTGCATCTGTTTCAGGCGGTTCCGTTGTGAGCACCTAAGTTCAGTCATTGGACTTGCCCGTCGCTGGTGTGAACTGACGGGTGATTTGGACACGCGTGCTCTTCCAGTTCCCTGTAGAACCTAACCTATGTGACCACTGGGTGCTTTGGAAAAGCTGTGGCCCTTGGACCGCAGAATGGCCACCGCAGATAACTCATAATTTAGCGCCTTGGTGTAACGAGAGAGTTGATAAAGCCACGGGGGCTCTTCCTGGCCTCCAAAGCCTCTTTTTTTAATTATTGTGTAAACATTAGCCTGTTTCTTTGATGAAGAATGAAAGCTTAAATATCGTGTGGCGTGTCAGGGAACATCCTGTGGATTTTTCGGCCATTGTTTTTTCTGTTTCTCATTAAATTCTATTATTGTTGTTTGTTAGATAGTAACACTTTTCTGTTTTTCTTCTGTAAAGTAGCACACACCTGTTATCTCAGCAACTCCAGGGGCTGAGGCAGGAAGATCACAAGTTTAAGGCCAGCCTGGGTAACTTAGCAAGACCCTGTCTCAAATTTAAAAAAATTAAAAGGGTTGGGGATATAGCTCAATAATAGAGCATCCTGAGTTCAATCCCCAGCACCACCAAAAGGCGGGGGCTGAACTGAACAAAACCCCCAAAAAGATATTCACTCAGCTCCTCTTTACCCCTCCCCCACAGCCCCTGTGGGCCAGCCCTCCCCCACCCCCACCGCTCCTGTCTGTCTGTCTGGAAATGCACCTCCTGCGTCCCAGCTCCCGTCGCTGTAACAGCTCACTCTCATGCTTGCTGTGTTTATTTGGGCTGCGGGCTGGTGTTACTTCACTGTTGAGATGACACACTTGCGCTGTACTAAACTGAAACAAAACGTGGTGTAAACATCAAAGCGATCCGTCTGCTGCTTTCATGTTTCAAAGCAGCAGTGCAGCTCCTTCCCAGCGGTCCGCGGGCACCGCTGGCAGGTGCCCTGACCAGATCCTCTGTCTCCTGCAGGTGCTGCTGTCCTGCTCGCATGTGTTCCACAGGGTGAGTTGCCTCTGCCCACACCGCCCGTGGGGCCTGGCCTGCTCACCTGGAAGTCTCCGGAAGGGCCGTCCAGCCTGCCCCTGGTCAGCACGTGTAGCTAGAAATAGACTGTAGGCTGTGGGGCACTCACCTCGTTTTGAAAATCATGAATTTTATGTGACAAAAGCAGCCCAGCTGTTTGTCTAGCTGACTGTTGTCAGTAACGTACATCAAAGCGCGGATCGCTGAGTGCCTGCCACATCTGCAGGCAGCGTGCACACGCGCGCCTTCCCTCCACACCAGTTCAGCTCAGAAGTTTTTGATGTCCCTGCATGTATATTCTTGTAAAAATCATTTTTGGAACAAGTTTCATGAGGAAGGTGTTAACATCTGATGAAACTCCTTCACTTCATAATCTAAATTGGACCAAGTCTCGTAATTATGAGAGAAAAGAACACTATAATTACATTAGAAGTAAAAATGTTGTTTATAAGTAATTACTCATAGATTTCAAGTGAAATCTTCTTCTTCAGGCGTGCCTTCAGGCCTTTGAAAAGTTCACACATAAGAAGACCTGTCCTCTCTGTAGAAGGAACCAGTACCAGACCCGGGTGATCCACGACGGGGCCCGCCTGTTCAGAGCCAAGTGTGCCGCGCGGTGGGTGAGGCGGCCTGGCCCGCCAGGCTGCCCCGGAGAAGGTGGCCAGGCTCAGTGGCCCTGTTGTCTCCCCAGGGCCTGGCAGCACAGGGTTTGTGGGATCCCTGAAGGATGTTAAAATAAAGCCATGGTGAGATAGTCACTTTCAGCTGTCTATTTTAGAATCCAAGCTTGCTGGAGAGGTTACGTTGTCAGAAAGTGGTACCGAAGCCTGAGGAAAATCATACCTCCCACCGACGCCAAGTTACGGAGAAAATTCTTTGAAGAAAAGGTGGGTAAAGTTCACGAGTTCTCCACTCTCCAGGTGGACGTGATCATTGGGGGTCAGTAAAACCTTGAGACTTACTTCGTTTGTAGGGTTCTTAGAAGGTTGAGAGGCTCCTGTTCGAGGCCATGGCCTCCAACCTCTGTTGGTGAAGGGATCATATGGTAAATTTAAAGCAACTTTTGTTTGGCCACTTTGGGGCCTGAGTGCCCCATCCCGAGCAGGCTGTAGTGCAGGGGCCTGCGTGAGGCCTGCGTAGCACGCGTGTGCAGGGGACTGCGTGTGTCCAGGCCACGCGGAGCCCCTGGTGGGAGCCGAGGAGCGCTCCCTTGTCTGCCCCGCGTCTTACCACTTCTGGTCTTCCACTTTCTTTTCTTGGGGGCTACTCAACCTTTCCCGCGACTTGCATCAGGAGTGGCAGAGTGGGAAGAGCCAGCCAGCCCGGGGCTCAGGCCTTCCCTGCCTTTGTAGTTCGGTGGCACCAGGGAGTGCTTTGAGGCCTGCTTCCTTGTCTGTGCTGTGACAGAATCATTTCTGCTCTACACTGTGCCAGAACCAGACGAAGTCTTTACAGAGTAGGTGCTAAAAACATGAGCACATGATTCAAGTTAACGTCCGTGTAAATCGTGTCAGATTTACCAGTATTCCACGGCTTATGTTTTACACTAGCACTGTGAGGTCCTGACCAGCTTCCGATCACCGTCACACTGTCCTCTGATCATTCTCTGTGGAAGCTCCATGGATATGATCAGCTGTGTTTTGCAGAAGGTTGAACTTTTAGGCTGCCTCCCACTGGGGATCACAACAGCAGGAAGACCTCCACTGCCATCCAGGGCACCCTGCCTGCCTGCAGGGAGCCTCCTTCAGCCTCAGGCCCAGGCAGACGGACCGAGTCTGTGTTCAGCCCAAAAGGTCCTGCAGACCATCCGCCCTTCTCTGAGGACAGTGTGGGTCCCGCTTCTTCACATGCTCCCCAGGAGACAGCCACTGCCAGCCGTCTCAGAACCACCAGGAGTCCTGAAAGAAGTGGGTGAGGCTGGACTGTAAAGCACTACGACTGTGTTAATACCCTTCTTGGACACTTGAGGGTCTGCAGCCATAAGCATGTGTGAAAGTCATTCAGAACATGGGCTTATCGTGACCCCATGCCACCTCAGAGCTAGAGCAAAATAGGTGTGCTTCCCTCAGGAATGGGGCAGCAACCAGTGCGTTGCAGGCAAAAGCCTGGAGTGCTGCAGGTGGAGCCAGTGGTGGCAGGTGTGAGAGGCTGCGTGGACACCTGAGGCACCCTCCCTCCCTGGCCTGGCGCAGGCTTCCGCCTGTCTAAGGCAAGCAGAGGCGAGGAGGCCAGGCTGTGGACAGAGTCTGCAAAGCTGTAGGTGAATAAGAAAAAATAACACTCTCCAAGGCCTTGGCGGCCCTCATGGTTGAAGTGGGAACAAAGGGTATGTAGGGAAGGTAGAGTTCTGGAGAAAGAGCCCCTCCTGGTCCTGTTTACTATGAGTCCTGTAAAACAAGCTTTCACTTTCTACTGTTACGGTTTAGATCTAAAATGTCCCCCCCCAAGTGTCATGTTCAGAGGAAGCAGGTCACTGAGGCATGACCTAGAAGAGTGTGTTCTTGTTCTCAGCTCCTTTCTTTGCTCTCTGCTTCCTGGCTGCCATGGCGTGAGCAGCATTTCTCTACTAGGCCCTTTCACTATGCTGTTTCCGCCTTGGAGCCAGCTAACCATGGACTAAACCCACTGAAATTATAAACCAAAATAAACCTCTCCTCCTTTAGCTTACAGGTTCCAGGTATTTTGTTCTAGCTACAGGAAAGTAAATGATACAGAAAATTAGTACCAGAAAAGTAAGGTCATTGCTGCTACTGTTCCTGACCATGTGGTTCAGAAGCCTTAGGAAATGGTTTTGGGAGGAGTCTGGGAGGGTTTGAAGATGCAGCCTAGAGAAGCCCTAGGATGCTATAAGCTAGGCTTGATGAGTGATTCTGGTTGGGGCGCAGAAGACAAGAGTGCAGATAGGAATGCAGACAGCGAAGGCCGGACTGAGGTGGTTTTGGTTGGAAACAAGGACTCTATCAGAAACTGGCCTAGAACTAATAGGTGTTATACTCTGGAAGAATGTTTGTCTACATTTTCTCTATGTCCTGAGACTTTTCGGGAGACTGAAATTAACAATGATGGATTAATTAATCTGAAGGAGGAAGCTTTAATAAAACAGCTTAGCATTCAAGCTGCGCCATGGCTGCTTTTAGCTATATCTACAGTGAAAATCAGGAGAAAAAAGCAGCAGTGAATGATTTTTAGTTTGCAGTTTCAGCAGCAAGTAAGTACCTGCAAAGTTGAAGCAAAAGAGAGCATGATTACTGGAAAGATTAGCATTTTTTAAAAGCCAAGTACTTTGCATCACAACAGGAAAAATGACTTGAAGGCATCTCAGGAATTGGCCAGACGTTACCCATCACAGGCTCATGGATGCAAAACCATAAACCTTTTCAGAAGAGCATCTCTGGGAAGCTTGCTCAAGAAGGACCTCCTGGGGAACGGATTCCCTAGAATTCATTTCACTATACTCAGCTACCCCAGCACTCAGAGGCCACTGTAGCCATGGTCCAAGGGGGCCTGGCTGTTGCTCAAGATGGTATTAGCCACATGACACTGGTTTTACCAGCATGCAGGATGGAAGAACTGTGGGGTCAGGAAGGCTTCACATGTCAAAGAAAGGCCTGTGAAGCGATGGAAGGAGCACCTGACAAGGCTGTACATGAAGCTGTGGAAAGCCAAAGGCACACTGGAGATCCCGGGAGGTTGGAGATGCCAGGAGCATGGGATGTTCACTGAGGAAAGCTGCAGGCAGCAAGTAGAGCCCGCCCAAGAGGCCATGTGGGCTGCCACCACCAATGCCATAGGGGTGGGTCCACCCAAGCCCCTTTGAGACCCCTTAGCACACCTTGCTCTGGGTGCTAGACATGGAGCTGTAGGATTTAGTGTTTGCCCTCCTGGGTTTCAGTCCTATTTTGGTCCCATTCCTATCCCTCTTTTCCTCCCTTCTTGAATAAATGTGCTTATCCTGGGCCATCAAATATTGGCACTATTTACATTTCTTTTGATTTTTTTTTGCGGGGGTGGGGGTTGAGACAGGGTTTTGTTGTGTAGCCCAGGCTGGCCTCAAACACGGACAGTATTCCTACCTCAGCCCCCCAAGTGTTGGGATTATAGGTGTGTACCCCAACACCTGGCTTCTTTCTTTTGTTTTATAGGTTCACAGCTAAGGGTTTGTTTTGAGTCTCAGAGGAGAATGGACTTGGGCTTTTCAGCAGTACTGGAACTGTTAAGACTTTTGCAACTCTTACATGGGCTAAATGCATTTTACATGAGGAGATCTGCATGAGTTTCAGGGGGATGGGGTGGAAGGTTATGGTTTATATCTGGATGTCTCTGCAAACCCACAAGCACTCAGGGCTTGTGGAAGATGACTGGATTACGGGGCTGGCCACAGCTGACCTGTTCTTGGACACTGTGTCTGGCCAGAAGAGGTGAATCACCTCCTTCCTCAGTTCCTGTTTTGACTGTGCTTCCTGGTCTCCATGGGGGGAGCAGCATTTCCTCCGCCAGGCCCCTCTGCCGTGCTGTTTCTTCTTGGAGCCAGATGACCGTGGACCAAAATGTGAGCCAAAATAAATCTCCCCTCCTTTAACTTGTGGGTGTCGGGTATTGTGTCTCAGCAATAAAAAAGTGACTTCAGTCAGGGTTGAGGGGATGTTATGGTTTAAATCCAAACTGTTCCAAAAAACGTCTCAGGAAACATACCTCAAATAAAATGAAACAAAATATTCTATGTAATGGTTTGCTGAAAAACATAAGAAAAATAGCAAAGAGTGAAAGAATGAAAATCACCATAGAACAAGTGAATTTTAAAGTGTATTTGGAAATTTGGAATCTAAAGTGTATATTATTATGGTAGTAATAGTATATATGAAACAGTATTCATGAAATAATATCCATGACAACAAAACTAATATTCTTTGATATATAGCTAAAGCTGTACTTAAGAGAAAAATTAGTAGCATCCAGTACAGTTATTACTGAGCAAGAAAGATTAAAAATAATGAACTTGCTAGGTGGGATGGCACATGCCTGTAACCATAGCTCTTGGGAGGCTGAGGCAAGAAGATTGTGTTGAATTTGAGACCAGCCTGCGCTACACAGTGAGTTCAAGGCCAGCCTGAACTACATAGTAATACCCTGTCAGTGTTTCTTAAGTGTAGGAAACAGAAACTATAAAGATTAACTCCTTTAAAATAACTCTTTAAAAAAAAAAAAAAAAAAGCAAAACTGGTTCATGAAACCAGTAGCTGGTACTTGGGAGAAACAAACTTTTGAAATACCACCAGAGTCTTAAAAATAAAAACTATGAGATAAAGTCTCATCAGACTTAAAACCAATTAGATGAAACAGAATAAAATATACAGAAAAGAAAGGTATTCAGCCTGGTGTAGTGATATGTGTCTGTAATCTCAGGACTGCAGAAGGCTGAGGCAGAAGGGTCGCAAGGCTGAAAGCAGCCTGTTCAAAATCATAACTTAGTGAGGCTCTGTGTCAAACAAATTATTTTCTTTGGGCTTGGACTGTAGCTCAGTGTGAAGGTCCTGGGTTCAATACCCAGTAATACACAAAGAAAAGGAAGGTATCCATGTATTTGGAAACCATTATTAGATTATTTTAATATTATATAAAATTTTGTACCATTAGAGCTGAAAATGTAATTGAAATTACTTTCAATAAAACAGCAAACATGAAGTTTAAAATATTAGGGGCTGGGGATTTAGCTCAGCGGCAAAGCACCTGCCTGGCAAGCGCAAGGTCGTGAGTTCGGTTCCTGGTACCGGAGAAAAACCAAAACCAAAACCAAAAAAAAAGTTTAAAATATTAAATGACACAAGTCATATGAGCATCTCAATTTTTATTGAAAAAGTATCAAACTTAACAGCCATCCCTAACATGA